TTTTCTGATGATCTCCCATCATCCAGTTATACATTGAGGAAATGATCTGAGAAAGAATCTGCATAATTTTGCCAAAGGTATATCCTACTTCACCTGCCTTCTGGGAAAATGCAGCTACTGATAAACAGAGTCATTTTGAAACAGGATGGAATGATGTTTACCTGTCAATCAAGGTGAAGAAGAGCAAGCAGCCACCATTGTTGAAAAAAGATGCTGGATCTCTTGTTCCATTAAATCAGTGTTTCTCAACCTTGGCAACTTTAAGATGTGGGGACTTCAGCTCCCAGAATGGCTGGCTGAAGAATTTTGGGAGTTGAAGTTCACATATTTTAAAGTTGCCAAGATTGGTGATCACTGCCCTATACTGTACTTATATGGAAAATGTAAGACCTTATTCACCTAGGACAGGGGTAGGCAACCTTGGCTCTTTTATGACTCGTGGACTTCAACTCCCAGAATTCCTGAGCTGGCTCAGGAATTCTGGGAGTTGAAGTCCACGAGTCATAAAAGATGCAAGGTTGCCTACCCCTGACCTAGGACATATGACTTGAATATCAGTTCTTCCAAAGCACCTGAAGGGAGGACAAGAAGCAATGGATCAAGGAGAGAACCAACCTAGAACTAAGGAGAAATTTCCTGACAGTTAGAACAATTAATCAGAGGAACGACTTGCATTCAGATGTTATGAGTGCTCCAACACTGGAAGTTTTTGAGATTGGACAATCATTTGTCTGAAATGTTACAGCGTTTCCTGCTTGAACTGGGGATTAAATTAGAAGACTTCAAAGGTCCCTTCCAATTCTGTTATTCTGTTAACTCTCTTCCATTGAAATTCTTGTGTCAATTTTGTTGAACATTTCTGTTCCAGATAGCTTGATGTTTTTATTAAAATATCTTTATTTATGCCACAGACTGATTTTGATGCAAGTTCAGAGTAAATATACTAGTCATATCTCATGTCAGCTAGCTCTGGCAATTCAGTCTTGACTCTATACAGAGACTTAGACAGTAGCTTATTAAAGAAATTCTTTCAGGGTGAGAGAGAATTGACCATATCTGACCTGACAAAATGGCTTCAGATGGAAGTCATTGCATAACTGAGCAATTTAAATGCTCAGTCTGAGATTTCTCTGCCTAGACAGTGTAACACAAACAGTTGATGGAGTTTTGATAGGACACTGGAAAGGAAATGGACAACTACCTCTCTACCAAAAATATGTCAGGTTTTTGTGGATATGGTGAAGTTTCTTCAACTGATGATTCCCAAGCCCTCTGCATTCATTCTTAATTAAGACATGTTTTCATAACTGCAGATAGAATTACCAAATCCAAATCATTTTAATTATTGTTGGATAAAGCCTGATTTTTAAAGGAAATCAGATGCCTTAATAACCTGTATGCCATTGGATGACACAATAGACTGACTATGAAGTTATAAGCCAAGAATCTTTGGTTAAATCTTGCCAGAATGAACAACTTTTAAGTTGTTGACTGACCACCAGAGTTTGAATGTTTGCCCTAGTAAATCTCACTTCGCAGTCATTCTGGGGTATTTTTTTTTTTTACTTTTTTTCCCTAAAGCACGTCTTATTTAAATGCTACTCTGCTAGATTAACACATTAAGCTAGACCCACTTTTTAAAACCCAGTGTTTAATACAAGACATTAGTCACTATGGTGTATGCTATGTGAAACAAAATTATGGTTTAATGCAAAGTAGGAAGGTAGACATCGTTTCTATTTTAGCTTACTTTAATATTTCACTTGATATTGTTTTATATATTTGGGATCTTGTCTCATAGTGGCATTCAGAAAATGGAATTAAAAATAAATATCAAAACATGATTGTTTCCTTGTTTGTCCACCATCATCTTTTCACTTCAGTATGGTTTCATCTAATTATTGGCACATTTGTTGCACACTTGCTTCACATTTGCACAAACTTGGCTCATGCCCTTTGGAACATCTTACCACAGGAGGGGAGATCCACATCATCCATCTGGCCCTCCAGAAGGGCCTTAAACCTGATTCTGCTGGTTGGCTTGGGGACCCAATGGGGAGGCAATCTAGTGACAGAGAAGGTACCCCCTCCTTTCTGCTTGACCCCTTGATTTTTTACTCTGTATTTAACTTTTGGAATTTTAAATTATTTTGATAATTTTTATATCTTTTACTGCATTGTAAGGCACACAGAGTCACTTTGGATAACAAGATGGGTGGCCTATAAATTTACAGATGTTTCTTACATTGAAATATAGTATCTTGAACTGAGTTGTTGTATACTGTGTTACCACTGTAGCTTCCTATGACGTTGTGTAGCCCTTGTTTTAGAATTCAGGTGTAATAGATTTCCATCAGTTTCTTATCTTCTATAGAGGACACTGAAAGATCCATACTCATGTACAGTATTTAAAGCATTGGGAAATCATACATGTTCTTAGTAAAGGAAATAAAGCTTTGTGAGTGTTGTGTAAGATGAGTCCATCACCTTCTCTGGACCATTTTCCAAAGATTTTGCACCAAAAACATTTGTAAAAAGTGTGATGGAGATGTCAGACTGGACAACTTTGGTGCTTACTGTTATACTTGTTTATGTATAAAAGCTCTTCTGAAATTTGCATTGGTCTTACCAAATTAGTTTTCCTTTGAATCCTTTTCATCTGTGTTGAAACAGCAGATTCACCTCAAATTTCTCTTTGGCTAAACCTCTACTCATCTTAGTGTTTGGGTGTGTGAAGCTCAGTGGTGAATTTTGTGTAAGGTTGCAAGAGTGAATACAACCACCATCACAAGTACCCTGTGCAAGAAGTAGAGAGTCTTTATTCCTTCACTCCCTTAAAGTTTGAGATATAATTCCAACAATCCAGATACCAAGCTGGGTAATTCAAGCAACAGCATATTTGATATAATTGATTTGATTTAAAATCTTATTGTTGATAAAGCCACACTAGGATCTGCAATGAGTCACAAAATTACTGTACAAAGGGAAAGGAAAGCCTGGGTGGTAAAATATAGAAAACATGTAAACACATAAAAAGAGGGTTGCATTTGGGGTTTTTTTCCCCTTTCTTTCTTGCTACTCTCTATGTTATGTGTAAGTGAGCATCTGTATATTTCTGTCTGGATTTTTAAAAAATGGAGAGATGGAAGAAAGAAAAGAAACATGGTTTCGTATAGTCATAAATACTGGCAAGAAATCTGTAACAATAACAATAGTCCAGGCAAGTAGCAAAACAAACTCACTAAGTCATAATTTTAATAAGGATCTCCCCAGTTTATATTGGCAATTTTAATTACAGTCTTACTAGATATAAAACCAAAATCCATTGGATGCATTTCTCCCCCCCCCCCCGATATAAATTAGATGCTTGATTTGTGTTGTTTAAATTCAATTTGAAAGTTTCCATCACAGCAGTCATGAAGTAAGTTGATGATATACAAAGGGATTATTTGTGTAAGTCACAGTTTCCCAATCTTGGCAACTTTAAGACATGTGGACTTCTTCTGGGAATTGAAGTCCACACATCTTGAAGTTGCCACAGTTGGGGAACCCTGAGGTAAATGATGGTTCCATCTATTTGGGAAAGCTCTACTGTAGCAAAAAACACCCACCCAATCCTAAACACATTACTTGTTAAGTCTCTATAAATCCAGGGGGGGGGGGTGGTATTGATAGTTAAAAGCAAAATGTCACTTTTCAGTTTCTAGGCTCTTGACATTTTAAAGAATAGAAGATAGGGGATAATGAGATGCATAAATGAAAGATATGGACAATTATAGAAGCCTTAATAGGTATATTACTATCTCCTTATTACTGACCTCTGGATTTTGAATCATGAGGGTGAAAAAGTGGAAGAACTTTGATGGCAAGGCAAAGAACCACAGCTTTCAAAATATATGGGAATTATGAAAACAGTTGCAACAGAAGAAATGTTGATATTCATTGCCTTGCATTATACACGAAAACTTTTCCATCTATATATCTAAGGCAGAGAACTTAACAATACATAGGCAATCAACCTATTCAGTGATGATTCTGTCCCTACTGCTGTTAATTGACTTTTCTGAGAACAGTCAGGACAGACTTCCTCCCTTCCAAAATTATTTTTCTTCTATGTATTTATTACTCTAACACTATCGAAATCATGTACAGCATTTCATTTAAAATTCAAATAAAACTAAGCAAAAAGGGATATCTTATGAAAATATAAATGTAGAAAAGAGAATCACTAGACGGAATATTTCCTGATAGGAACTGATTTGACAAGTTGTTTTCTGCTTCTTCTATACCAGCGGCCCCAATATTTTGGGCACCAGGGACCGGTTCTGTGGAGAAAGGTTTTTCTACGGATCAATGAGTGCATGGTTTTGCATGCTGCCTGCATCCCTTGGGTGGGGCTTCACTTGTTTGTGTGGGCTGGTTGCTGGAATGTTGTGGACCAGTGCCGGTGCATGGATCAGGGACCCCTGTTCTATACAGCTCAAAGCAGTCTTCCACAGTAAAACTTCTGGAACACATTTTAAAATTATTTTTATATCTAGAAACTTCATAAATAGATGGTTGGTTGGTTCCTAATTCTGATTAAGGGATTATAGTCTGCTATATCCATTGTAACCTACAGCCAAAGAAGTGAAATCTGAGTACCGGTAGTTCTAGTGCCAAGCTGGACAATGTTCTCTTCGGACTGCACCATTCATTTTAAAATGCTATTATTCAGCAGTACATCCATAGGAATAAAAATTACTATTTCTGGAAACATAAGGCTAGGAAAGGGATGACAACCCACATCCCACCTGTTTCATGCTATTAGAAGTCAAGCTGGAGGAGCTTCAAGCCATTTGTTTTAACTTCCTGTTCAAATTAGGAAATCCAGAAAACAAAATTCTTATCAAAAGGATGTCCAGCCAGTATTTTAAGACATCCAGCAAAGGTCCTGAAGCCTTCTAGATAACTATGCATGATTAATATAGAAGACGCTACCCAAGAATGGCAAGAATGCGGATAATATAATTGTGTGTTTATTTGTTTAAACCACTTCATTTAACGCATAAAAGAAAGGTCCAGCAGTGGTTCTTGATCATGTTAGCGAAGAGAGAGTCTTGCTTTTAATAGTGAAAAATGACAGAGGGCAACAGATCAAAAGCTAGCATTTCAGATTACTTTTCAATGTGCCTTACATAGATATTCCATGAAGTCAGTGTAACATTTGCCCTGAAATTTAGCAGGATACATCTTATCACCAGCTTGTTCTTTTGCCAAATATTTCTTAAATACACAGCACAAAAATAACTTGAACAGAGCCTGTTTCGAATCAACCTTTTATGAACTATTCAGACTAATTACTGCCAGAAGATGTAACTCAGCTCTGTTTCCTCTTCCCATTTGTTTCTCCAGTGCATCCAGTTTAACTGCAGATGGGAACAGATATATAAGCTGCTTGTTGGGCTATTGGTCCAATGTGGCTGTTGTTTTTTTTTTATCATTGGGGCCAATGTCTGCCCCATAATTAAAGACAATTAGTGAACCGCGATATGAAAAAACATCCTGGTATGTCAACCTCCCTATTATAAAGAAATGATAGGAACTTATTCCTCATGTCTATATTGAGCTGCATGTCAAATAACCTCTATAAAAGAAGAAGATTATTTGCCAATGCCCGCCAGCTGCGTTAGGATAAAAAGGCACATTCTTGATTCTAACATTACTCTAATCCAAGCCAATTTGCTGCTTATGAGAAAGGGCAAGATGGCGGCTCCTTTAATCTACATTGACAAATCAGAAAATTGTTTTCCTTCAATACTGACACTGAGGATACGTCTAAGGACTTTATAGCAAGAGATGGGACTGAGAAGAGACAGGCTCCTTAATATTCTTCTGTCTGCTAAGGTTCTGTCCCAGTTTAACAAAGATGCTTTTCTTGGTTATAAATAAGCCTGGGCCTGCTTAAATGTTATTTATTTGTCAGATATTATTTATTAATGCTGCTGAGAAGGAAATTTAGAAAATAGCTACTTTTAGACACGAGACTTAAACAAACCACTGTGAGAGTTTCATACAATAGCTCGGAGGGAAGAAATGTTAAAGCTTAAGGTCGGTGAGTTTATAATGGCTTTCCTCCTGCTCTCTCTCACAAATGCAATATAATTTGGCTGTTTTACTGCTCAAGAACTTTCTTTAAATATCAAGCTACATATACAATTAGCAAAATCACCCAATTATTCTAAGACAGAATTTCAGAAATTGCCAGAGAAAATTCACCAGCAAACACAGTTTAAACAAAGAGTTTTTAAAATGGGGGTGGAGGAGCAGAACCACACAGAATAAATGTACAATGAAGAAAAGTGCATTTCAAATAGGTTTCTTTGGCAAGATCATGTAATACTCTGTGCGCAGAGGGTGCTTTGAGTGCATTCTGTATAAAATCCAACATCTTTTAAATCATTACATAACATACATGTGCTAAAATTACATTAGACCTGAGCCCCAGGTATTGGACGTGAAGTGGAGTGTTTTCAGAGAAAATCCCGCTTGCTGGTATCTCTAAAAACTCAGAAAAAAACCAACAGTTCTCTCAGGGTTTGAAGCTCAAGAAAGGCGAAGTAAATGGACCTGGACCAGAGGTTGTCTGCCCTGCCTCACAAAAGTTCCCTTTGTACCACTGATAAAAGTTGGATTTGTGATTAAATCCAAAAAAAAGAAGGTTGATATAGCCAGTCATTCACTCACATCTGGAGCAAATCACTAGATGAACCAGTGAATAAGGCACATGAATTAAACCAGCTTTTCTTCAATTTGCTGCTGTCTAGATAGCATGGTATGGGCACTCCTAGGACTCCTACCCCATGCTAATTGGGAATTCTGGGACTTGTCATCCCATTGAAAGGACATCGAATTAACGGAAGGTGGCTTAGCCTAGCCATCTCCTGTTTGAGATTCTAGAAAAGAAAGGAGATAAAACAGGATGGTATTGCCAACATTGGGGCAATAGAATGAAAACTAGTTGCCCTTTTCAGTTCTTATACATCCAAGACAATCCTTTCTGGCATGGCTGGACCATGCCAGATGATGGACCAGGGTCGAGTTTTTGAGTCTTTGGTCTACATCATCACACACAACTGGAGTAGCCCAACATGCCACTTGAGGAAAGTTTATTAAAAGCCATCATTTTCTGACCCAACCAACATATGCAAAAAGATTGTAGGGTTTACGAACAAGTCAGGTTTCCCATTAGTTCTAGAAATTGTCCTTTTGGGTATTCTGCCTCACATACACTTTAAGAGCCCTGGGCTGAGAGAAGGATTGAGAAGGTGATCTACATAAATTACAAGTTTATTCCTAAAATGCAGCACTGTCTTGATACAAACTGGACAAGCAACAAGCTATATAATGTGATTAGGCTTTGCCTCAGCAAGTAGGCTAAAAAGAGAGGGATCTTAAACTTTTCATCTTTAGCTTGTGAGTTAGTATAGGAACAGTGCACAAGGCATGGCTGGAAGCAGATATTTTGTTCACATGCATGTGCCTACCAATGTATTTACTTATATGTGATTACTGGATACTTATATCAGCTTCCTTTCATCTGAGTGTCAAAAAAGGCATGAACCATTAACTTTCAATATACTTTTCCTGTGACAAGGTAGCAAGCACTGAGGATGGGGACAATTCGGGAAGCAGTGAAAAAAAAATGAAATCTGAAAAATAGAGACTTTCAAAAAATATATATATTTATAATATTTATATATCTATATAGACACAGTCTTTTTCTAATTGGTTAATGGCAGGGTGACACAGTTGCAGGTGAGGGAGGGGAAATCATCTTGCTTGAATTTTTCAGAAGGAGAGAGACGTTTAGAACAAACATAAAGAAAAACTCTCGCAGTCTCCAGCATCCCATCTGGGTACGGATGGGGCTTGGAGCTTGGGTGATGGATGTCAAAAACGGATGTTCCCACTCCATCCAAGTACCTCTCACTCCGTCTCAACAATTCTCAGTTGCAAAACTCATGCTTTATACAACGATATCCAGAAATGAATCTCTCTTCACACACTTTCACACATACGCGCACCGTTATCCTGCATGTCATTCAACAATAAAGTACAAATGCATTCATGCTCATTTGCTCAGGCAGAGGATGAACAATGGGGTGGATGGTGGGGGGATGAGGAACATTGTATAATGACATTGCCCTGGGGCACACAATTAGAAGCTGCTGCTTTTACAGCATTCAGGAGATAGAACTGACTCATGTTTGGACACTTTGTTCAGGATGATCACGCTAATAATATGAAAGCTTTGTACTGTCATCATTCCCCAGACCTGGTATTTTCCAGCTATATTACGACTACAGCTCCCAGAATTTCAGGGGGGGAAATCCCAGTGCCTCTGGAGGTGACAGGTTAATCATACAGAGAATATTATATGGGGTAGGAGGAATGAAGGGAGCTGCAAAAATCAAAGATGAGAAATAAAACCAACAGGGCCAAAAACAAAACAAAAAAAATAAATACTTTGTGTAAATTTCATTTTTTTAAAAAAAAAATACTGATTAGCTTACATTATTTTGTCAGTATATTTCATACATACTTACATACATACATACATATATATATTATATAAGAAGGCAATGAAAATGCCGGGGGAATTTAGGTGACTGCACAACTCGCAAGTTGTCATACTGATTTTTAATGAATATTGCATGAGTTTCTATGAAGGGTCTCATCAACATGGCCTCCATCCCAAAAATGTTTCTGTTCTTCACTATTTTATGACCTATTCATGTCAGAACAAAACTGATGGAGAGACCAATTTCTATTCATGGTTTCTAGTGGAGGCCACTGAATTGTGTTGGCGCACATGAGTATGATGGAGACCTGCTAAGACTTAGGTCCTCCTTGCTAGTCTATGAGGCAACAATGGCTCTCCAATTATTTTAATCAGATCTTGTTGAATCACATTTGCAATTTCAGTAGCAAGTGAACGAAATTTATAGGGTTGGGTTTATTAACAGGGCATGGGGTAGAGGTTTTTTTATATTATTTCCATGCATGATGGGCTCTTCAGTGACCTTTTGTACCAGTTTCTACTGGATCAGTTGATATATAGCAAAACAACATGGCTTTCTTGAATCTACCCTAATGAAACGTTGACAATAAAGCCATAGGCAAATTGGGTGATAGAAAAAAAAACACTTTTTTATCCATTCAGCACATCTTTAAGCCTAAAATTTGCCAATGGTAGAAGTTTGGGAAGATAGTGAGAAATTCTCATTACACTACAGAAATTCTATCTGATAGCTCAATCCATATTATTCACACTCTCCTTGATAGATACCAAGCATGAACAGTTTACAGAGATAGTATATATGGCCTCCATTAGAAATGCCAAAAATCATTCTAGTACAAGGATTCAACCGTGATGTTAAATATAAGAAGATATATATATATATAACATTTTTTTCTGCAACTGCTACACTTTCTCATTTACTCTGGAAAGGATATGAAGCTGCTTTGCATGAAATGATAAAGGTCTCCCTTTTTATACTAAATGTCCATCTAGCATAACATTATTAGCAGATCAGTGCAAAAAATCTATTGTTTGATGCCTCCAAAAGCAAAAATAAAGTTTAATAATGCAAAACTAATGAACTAATTTAGCTACATACTGAACCTCCATACGGCCGCTACCTTTTTGAAATAGCTAGGGCCATGCTTAAATCAACAAGTTAAGTTTTTATAATGGTTATTCTTAATGACTTCAGAACAGAATTCCCCCTCCCAATTATTGGATTATTCATCTTGCCTTTGCTCTATTTCCATGCAACTTCCAAAACAATGTGTATCTCTCCAAAAGGATAAGTTTGGGCAGGACTGTTTTTATCCTAAACTCAAAAGGAAGTGCATTCCCCAACTCCTGGTGTTTTAACATTTCCAGGAAAGAGAGTCTTAGGATAATTTAGTCTGGATCCCATTCCTAGACTCTTAACAGATACTACTGTATTTTCTTTGACTAGCATGCTCCACAAATTATTACCGAAAAAGAGATTCTGAGCTCTGAAACTCTTTTGTATAAATTTTTAGGTGCACATGCATGTGGGGAATGAGTGTGACTACTGATTAAAATAAATACTTGCCACTTGCACTGTAACTCTCATACTGGTAACAGTTGTTCATAAGTTTTCTTTCAGGTTACGGAGACCTGTGACCTCAGGAGAATGACATACATATTCTGAATAGCCATCAGAGGCAAGAAGCCTCACAGTAAAGCCTCACGTTAAATACTGAAATATGTGCATATCACAGACAGACCACATGCATGTGCACACACACACTCATACAGACATACTTCATACTTTCAGCAGTAGTTGAAGCGGGAGCATTTGCTTTTAAAAAAAATGATTGCTTTTTTTTAGCATCTCTCTGGATATTATTTCCTGAAGCTCATATAGTCATGGGTATTTGAGTTGATTTCATTTTTGCCTTATTTTCTAAACAAGCAACTACTAGATAGACCTATCCCACAAAGATTACTAAGATTCATACTTTGGCCTGTGGGGCTGAATTCTCTGATTTTGTGCTGAGCCAAAAGCCAAAACTGTTTCCATCTCTTGATCTTGGCAGGGAAAGACAATGGTGTCAGTTCCTTGGTTTCTGCTACATACATGTGTTTGGTTGGTTTCAGCCTTCCAACAATTCAAATCACTTCTTTTTAATAAACCTCCCCCTTCCCCCCATCAGTTCACATCACTCCTTCACGAAGCACTTCCTCCTACAACTTCTCGGAACGACTCCAAGTCCTTCGACAAAATTCAAGGGCAAGAAGCCCCCTGCAAGGGGGAAGCCACAGTTCATCTCTTGTGAGAAGAGCCAAGCATAACTCTGGAAACAAAATTGACAATGGCAGCCGCTGGCTGATCTGGATCCAGCTCAGCAAAGAGGTGACAAACGTTGTCCGTCGTACTGCCTTGCTTCCTAGCCACGAAGCCAAAGAGTCTGCAGGATGACAAAGAAATTAAGGAGCGATAAAATCATGCCGGTTTGAGAGAAGACAGGAATTGCCCACCGCCACTTGGGATCACTACCGTACCATACTTTATGCTTGTATCAGGTAAAACTCTTTGACATTCCTTCTACCCTGCCATTTGAAATGTACGGGGAGTCAAGAGAAAATCACCGTTAATTAATATGTCCTTTATATTGCTATTCTTCTAATAAACATTTCCCAAAGTAAACGAAGTGACATATTATGTGTATTATATATTTTTCTTAAGTGAGCAATAAATAAAATCCAAGCAATCCTCAGAATTCACAGAAAACAGAAAATTCAACCAGAAGGATTTTGCTTAGAATATTCATACAGAATTAAATATCTCTAAGCTATTTACCTGAAGCTATAAATTTCCTTCACATTGTAATTAAATAGCTGACTTCATTCTGTGTTTATATATGAATATTTATCAGGAACAATTGGAGATGACTTCAACAGGATAGATTATGAGCCACAAAAGAAAGTCATAACTGTGTAAGCAATTTTGCTACAAAAGAGCCCTGCATTTAGTCAAGAATTTGTAAATGAAATGAAACTTAAAAACATGACCACAGGCTTATGAGAGGCCAGAGTTAGGAGGGCATATTTGGATTGTAAAAACAACAATTTAGACCAAAATTACTTAATTTAGCTTTTCCTTTTTTCTTAGGTTAGATCAATGTCTTTGAAAGTATCTTTGAAAGTTTTGGTAGCTTTAAGGACTATGAGAATGATCCCCTGTCTTATGTTGTGTGCGTGTGTGTGTAAAAATATCTCCTAATTTTGACACTGATCGAAGTAACAACTTACTTGGCAGCACCACCAGATTCTGATTTAGTCCACCTGAGGAGAAACAAACAAAAAACTCTATTTTGCTTTTATACGGAAGAAAATTTGACACTTTTTTTAAAATGGTGAGCTAGATACAAGAAAGTGGGAAGCTTTGAATGGAATTTCACTGATTCATTGTCAATAGATCTTTTCTTCTGTAAATAAATGACTACAGCTAAGAAAGGGGATGAAATTATTTTATAATTCTATACTGTTTGAAAATCTTTTATTGTCCCTTAACTCTTCTGATAAATTATCTGTTGCTTAAAATGTATTATGATCTGACTTTTAGAAATATTGAAAGAGTGTTCTGAAATTCAACCCTGAATCTCCATCACAGTGCTTAATGACTATTAAAAAATAAATGAAGAATGGTGTATTTCTCTAAGTCCTTTCCTATCATAAGCCTGCAACTTTATTGACCTACAACGAGTAAAAGTCAGCATTTTAGGTGCCTTTGACCTCAAACTGAGTCATCATTATTTTGCAAAGAAACGGATAAACAATTCTCTGTTCTTCATTGGCAATTTAGTTCTCTTCAGAGCTGAAACAAGTTGTGGGAGACATCTGTAAATCTCCACTGCTGTTGATAATTTCCTGCATATTTGTTTCAACATGGAACAATCTCATTTCTTGGAAATCAAAGAGATCTGGCAGTAGCAACATAGGGGAACAGATGTCTAATTACAGAGATTTCTGCTCAAACACAGAAACAAAGAATCTGCATGAATGATTAGTTCCTTTCAAGAGCACAAATGAAAATAGGATTCCAAGAATCCTGTCCTATGCAATTTCCCATTTTTCACCATTATACGTTCCTATTTTCCCATTCCAGCCAATGGTTTTTATTTATTCTGATACAGAAACATATCTTGTCATTTCCATCTCTCTGTGGGTTCAGGTAGAAACTGTAGCTTATAGTGAGGACTCTGTTGATATTTACAGAAGGTCTGAAATTAGTATAAATTAGATAATTTTAAATACACATTAATCCAATAAATGAAAATATTTGTAGCTCAGGGTTGAAATAAGGGGTTCTTGGTCTCTCTGAACTTTCTTGCTTGCAGATGTTTCATTACCCAAACAAGGTAACATCGCTACTGATGTTGGGTAATGAAACGTCTGCAAGAAAACAAGCAAGCTCAGAGAGCACCAAGGACCCCATATGTTAACCCCTTGAATGAAGTTGTTTGTTCAAAGGATTAGAAGCATTCTTCCAGATCCAGAAGTAGCAGAATCTTTGTAGAGATGGAAATATCCTAGAAATATCCTTAAGAGATTTTAATTGGTTCCATCTCCACCAGCTTTTAAATGCCAAACACCATGTTTTTAATTCACAATGCATTTTATTTCCTCTTTCAGTGTTGATGTTTCAACTTCTAAATTCTAATGAAAACTCTTTAAAGATATATAAGACATAGAGAATAAAAATACAAGAACATCTACATGCCCACATCTACATACATATTGCTTCCAGGAGTTTTATTGCTTAAGTTTACGGAAGAATTTAACAAACAGCTTCACTTACTTTCTGTCCTGTGGGTCCACATCACAGAAGGTGACAGTAACAATAGGGTAATGTCGTCTGAAGAACAGTCTGAAATGGAAATGGGGGGTAAGCATTAATTCTATAGCCATTTGAAGGCAAAGGAAGGTGAATCCATGCACACAAATAACTAAACCACCCCAAAGAAGCTCATCTACATGAGCAAGAAGGAAATTTCTGATAAGATGGCAGGCGGTGACAGTACTATATGGTCTGGATGGGCTCTATATTTTTAATATCCAGAACTGATGAAACACTTCTCAGTAGAGATTTATTTTGTTCAAAATGCCTTGACCTTTCTTTGATACCTTGCACATATTATTTCACTCAATGTGGCCATAGAGAACTCTGCAATATGATGCTAAGAAATATTGTAGTGAAATGAAGAACTTGAAGAACTTGTCACCAATAAGATACTAATATTGGTTGCACCCAGGCATCTCCAAACCCTGACTCCCATACTGTTCCCTTACTTCCTCTGATTGTCTGTTAAGGTGATGCCTTGTGTGGAGACTTTGAAGTGGACAATAGTAGCAGAGGGAGAGATGTCAGCAGCCAGCGTCTCAGTGATAGCTTTGGCGATGGCCTGAGGGCCAGTTAATGATTCCATCTCTACCGAGTTTATAAACAGCACGTTGCAAGCTGTGGGAGAAAAGAGGGAAATTGAGGCCAACATTTTTGGGTAGTAGAATGAACGAACAATGAAGCATACAGTCCACGGCTGCTTGCACTACAAGGAAAGTAACATGTATCAACATTCCCCTTTGGTTATGCTAACCAAAAATTCTACAACGAATACTGATGACACATATGTAAGCAAGGGAAGAGTGTTGTATATATATATATTTCATGTTTTTTTCTTTCACAAGAAACAATATTAAAAAGCTTAGTATCTGACTGCATTTCACATTATTTCAGTTTTTGCAGTGTCAGTTTGTGATGATTAAATTCCACACAAGTCAGAGTAAAATCTGAATCAGAAATTCTTTCATTCATTGATTGGATTCTTACTATTTCCTTCAATTCTACCCTCAAACCCAGCTCCATGAGGTAACTAGGCTCAGATTAAGTGGTTGGCTTAGTGATTCAGTGAGCTTCTTTTGCTTTATATGACTTTGAACCTGCAAATTCTTGGCAATAATCTTAACATCCTAATCATTTTAGATTTTCAGTTCACTTCATTCAAAATGAGTAATCTTAAATCGCTCACCTGCTCCCTGTTTGAGCAAATCAGTTGCTGAGCTGCTGGATGATGTTGTTTCTTTTGTTTCGTCCATAGGATCTTCAAATGAAAACACAGAGGAGGTTATTGTCTATAAATACACATCTATGTTATTTTTCTGGATTATATCTAACAATCCATATTTATGGAGAACATTCATTTTTATTTCAGATTTCTGGAACTGAATAAAAGGGTGAAAACTAAATTAACTTTAAAAGGGATTGTCTTGATTTACAATGCAGGGATCCAAAAACAGTATTTTTTAAAAAAAATGTTATTAATTTTTCTATTTTTATTAATAATTTTAATTACAATAGTAAAAGTTAATACAAACTAAACTTAGAGAAAGAGAAGATAATGCAAAGAAAGAAGAAAAAGCACAGGAAAAAAGAAAAAGAAAGAAGAAAAAGAATATAATAAAAAGAAAGAAATATAGAAAGAAATAACTTCCAACTTTCCTCACAAGTATAAACAAATTTAATAATCCTTTGCTCCCTATAAAATTAAACAATAGCTCTTTATCCCATATCAAATTCCTTATCTATAAACAAATCCATAAATCATCATTTTTTCAGTTCTGGTGTCAACAGAAAGTCCATAAACAATTGCTAGAGTATTACAAAAATATGTCTTGTTTTGAGCATTTAAAGCCAACTTTATGCTCCTCTTTTTACTTTTAACAGTCTTAAATTTTAATTCAAATGTTCCATCAAATATTGTTGTAGAATTTGACGTCTCTTTAATTCTTTATCCCATTACACAGATTTCTTCAGGCTGTTTTGTAGATGGAATGTAGGTGGAATAAGAACACATTTTCCAGATCACTTTTTTAATTTATCATTTATATTCCCCTTTTAATTTTTAAAAGTTCAGCCAGTTTCTTTTGTACACAAAAGCATCCTTTTCCAAATTATTCTCTTGGCCTGTCATTTGTAGCCCACATTCTATACTTTTTCTGTCTTAAGATTTTTCCACATCTGTCATTCCTTCATTGACAATTTTTTTGTAGTGGAATGTAATACGGATTCCCAGGAAGAAGGAGCTGCATTCCAGAGAAGCAAGAAATGGTGAAATTTAAATTAGATTAGATTAGATTAGAAATTTTGCTGGGAGGGAAAGAGTTAAGGCAGCTCCTACTTAAGGAATTCTCAGAGTATAATTTTAATAATGCAAGCAGTTTGCTTTAGTTTGGCAAAATTTCTGTCTATAGGTGGATATCAATAAAGGAAACTGTTCAGAAGAACCTGAGCAAGTCTTTCTAGGTTTTGGAGCTTGACATTTTAAACATAATCTATACAGAGAAGCAGACATCATTACTGACAGTGTTGATATTGTAGTAATAATTTTTGGCTTTCATTCTTTAAAGTTCTCCTTTTAATATATCTGATGTTATAAATATAAAATTTTATATTTCCATTTTTTAAGTTCCAGTATTAATGATCTCAAGAAGAAGCTTGCATTTTTTTCTGCTTTTGCTTAAAATCTTTAGCCCCCTCTAGTGTTCAATTTCTAAAATCATCACTTATCATCTGTCTGTCTGTCTATCTCTCTATCTATCTATCAATCAATCAATCATACTTATTAACCATCCATCTCTTTCAGAGAGGGGCTTTTACTAAGACTTGCAATAGACAGGATAGCCAAAATAAATCTGTTTATTTGGAATGAGTCCACATTAAGCACAGAGAAGACCGCTGGTTTGAAAGAGGGGTTAAAGAGACCTTCTACGTTAAGACTGGACAGCCCTCTCTCAACAGAGGGGGGGAGGGATACACACCACCTATGTCCTGTTTACAATACAATCCTTTCAGCAGTTCCAAGAAGAATCCTTCTCCATTTGCATTATTCAGGTGACCCTGAGGGCACAGATAAATCTTCAAGCAGCCTCAACGACTCTCAGAAAGAATACTAACGAGTAGATGACTGCAAGGAATATAAATCTTCTATCCTCCACTATTTGGTCAGAGCTGAAGAATCTTCTTGGATGAGAAGCAAAATGTCTTCAAGGAAAAAAAACAAAGTCCAGCTGCTTTTTGGAGGGAAAAACAAAGCACCTTTGGGACAGTTCCTTAGTTTTTATTGTGGTCATCAGCTCTGCTTTTCTTAATTCTTCTTAATTCTCCTGATCTCTGACCTCCACTGGAAGTCCCAAAAGATAATATTTTAATGGCTCTTAAGCCCTATAGGGAAAAGTGTATATGAATGTCACAAAAATGCCACTCAGCTGTTATGGAATAAAAATATATCTGGCTCTCAATTAACGATATGCCAGTAGAATCTGTTTATGAAAGCTGATACTTTAATAAATATAGAGAGATTCTTATCTTCTGTTCCTTCATTATAAGTCAGCAATCCCCAATGTTCTTGCTGGGAATGCCCGAACCTGGGGGAAGACTAACATATGGAACACTTGTGTTCTCCCTTATCTGATTAAAGGCTCATATCTGTCTGAAGAAAAGGGATTTGGGGATTTCTAACTAGGTCATCTTAACCAAAGTAGGAATTTCAAAGGGGAAGATTTTCTGTGTCACTGTATGAATATCTAGAGAAGAGATCTCCCTGCCTTTACCACAGAGGGACTATCTACTTGAGCTGTAGTGCAGAGGTGAGCATTCTCTACTACACTGACACATGCTCTGTGAAACAAACTCTCAAGAGAGATGCCAAATATTTTCACTAGAAATTGAATTAAGTTATTTGTCCCAGCTTTCCCTCAATATGATCAGCTGCCCCGGGGTGTATTTTTGCTGTTTCCATTTTTTTTCCCTAAAATATTCTATTGTTTTTATTATGGTTATTGTATATTATTGTGATGTTTTAATAACAATGGATATAAATATTTTACATAAATAAAATAAATAATACCTGTGTCTATGTGCACATTTACCAATATTTCAATTTCATTGCAATATCTAGTAAGTCCTCATGAGATCTCTCCAAACTGTGTTACTATAAGCCACCCCTGGGAATCCTCCTTAGAGAATGTGTAGTCTTAGGAGCCTCATGACTGAACATCCAATTGTTCAGTTTAGCTGATACAGAAATACTTTGATGCATGGAAAAGTCTCAATGTGCATGAGTAATCTATTCAAGAGTAAGGTACAACTTCTGAGCAATTCTTTTTTTCTGAGTTAGTTTTTGAAGATTTAGAATTGGGCTGGTTGGGCGAGGTACAAATGATCATAAGTACCCATAATGACGAAGAAATGATGGTGCAAGGAGAGAAGTAATGAATTATGGATTTTGCAGTGATAACATAACACATTATTTATTTATTTATTTATGAGACTTATATACCGCTTTAAGTGCAAGCACTCTCTAAGCGGTGTACACCAGTAAGCAATCTATATATATATATTTACATTGCCCCCAACAATCTGGGTCCTCATTTTATCTACCCCGGGAGGATAGAAGGCTGAGTCAACCTTGAGCCGGTGAGATTTGAACCGCTGACCTGCTGAACACAGTCAGCTAAAGTGGCCTGCAATACTGCACTCTAACTGCTGCGCCACCTCGGCTCTTGTTATATTATATTATCCTCTCTCCAGCCTACCTTTCCCCTGTCATTTTTGCAGGTGCCTTCCTATATATAATCATCAGATTACAGCAGTGGACTAGTGCTGAAACAGTATTTGACATTAGCTGTCCTCCTCTATGTGTGTGGTGTGGCTGCTAACTCTGGAATTAAAAAAAACCTTTCTGTACTTGAATCCCTAAAACCTGACTTATAAATTGATACACTCTACCTAATCTCTGTTTTCCTCCATTTGCAGAATATTCTATTCTATTTTTCTGAAATTAAAGCTGACTTCAAACTTTCTTGGTTGTCTCAGTACTTGCCAGGATGAAATACTCTATAAAATGACATTATGCCCATGTAATAATGTGGGGACCTTTACCTCTGTCAGGAATGACCAGCTTACAAGGCAATGCCAGAGGCATGATTGAGTGCTGATACACCAGAGCAGAGAGGCAACCTAGAAAGGGGAAAAAAAAAAAAGAGATCTGGTCAAACTTAAAGGTAACTGAGGAAGTTATCCTATCATGGCACCTGTTTTTGGAACATCATCCACCCAGAAATTTAATTAATCCCAACTCTGATTGCCTTTTGTATGGCTTTGAAGACCTGGTTATAACAGAGTTTGGGGATGGTTCCAGAGTTTGGGATGTATTCATGGCCCAGGATCACAACACTATGATAGATAACCATATAAACTATTTATTTATTTAAATTTATTAGGGCTGCCCACTCCAAAAATAATAGCTACATATTTACAAAGCCCATTTCTCCAACTATATTCTATCATGATATCATTAATTCCTCGCTGATGCCCACACAATGCAAATAAATGAGAGGTTCACTAAACTAAGCTTAAATGCTCAGAGACTCATTTTAAAACTTGTTGCTTACATTTCGTCTTAGTTGTATTAAGCCCATAAAATTCTGTGGCAATCCGCTGTTTGAAACAGAATCAGGAAATATCTGCATATGAAGTTAATTCATGAACTAAGCTTTGGATAGTGGAATGGGCAGCCTATAAACTTAATGAATGAATGAAATAAATTTTATAAACTTATTTATTTTATTTGTACACTGCCTAGCGTCCCTCTGCAAAAGAGATGGGAATTTTTAAATAAAGTTTTTTTAAAATAAATAAATAAATAAGCAAGCAAGCAATTCTGGAATCACACAGCATAATTCATGCTGCTTGAGACTAGCAAAGAATAGAATATTTGCTTTCATTTGTGACAAAGAATAATTCATAACATTAATTTAGAAGAATGAAAGGGCTGAGAATATTTGCAGAGAATTGGAAACAATACCTACTCTGACAAGAAGACGAAATTAAATGACCTCAATACAATATATGCAGTACTAAACAATATCACTGCAACTGTGTTATGTTCATTTATGCTTAAAAAAATGCATATTGTACAATAATGCTTTCTTTTTTTTACAAACAACCCTGACTGAATTTCTGAGACTTTAGAAGTTTAGACAATTTAACCAAGAGGCTTTAGTAGATTCATGTCAGTTAAATATTAATAACCTCCTTCCTTACTTTGAAAGTCTAAAAAGTACATGTCATTGCTACAGATTCCACAAGAGGGCAGGATGAGACAAGAAGTTGTGAAGATAACAATTGTAGGCACTCACCAAAATTGGGTTCATTGGGACATCCTTTTAGTTTCACACCTTTAGGGCTGGTTTCTATCAGGAAATGTCTTACCAGCTCATTAGTGATATCTCCTAAAGGGATCAATCAGAATTTCACTATAGATGGCTTTAATTAAGCTTGTCATACAAATTGCCAAATAGTCTAAACCAGTGTTTCCCAAACTTGACAATTTTAAGGCATGAGGACTTCAACTCCCAGAATTCCACAGCCAGCAACGCTGGCTGTGGAATTCTGGGAGTTGAAGTCCACATGCCTTAAAATTGTCAAGTTTGGGAAACACTGGTCTAAACTAATGACCAGTTATTTCTAGCTCAAGAAAACAAAGAGTTTGTCCCCAACAATATGTTCCTTGTGTCATAGGATGGCATAGCTGTTAATGGTTCAGACTGAGGAAAGGCTTTTACAGTGAATGAAGCTCATTTAGACTAGAACAGAGTTCCCCAACATTTCCGGCTTTGCAGACCAACGGGGGGGGGCTCCCCGCGAGCGGCCAGCAAGCATGCACGCAGCTCCATTTGTGCAAGCAGTGTGTGCACATGCTCGCCCACTGCTCGCGCAAGTGAGGTCGCACATGCTCACCGGCCATTTCTGCAGCCCAGTTGCAATCCCCTCATGGCCCTCTAGTGGGATGCGGCCCACGGGTTGGGCAACCCTGGACCAGAAGACCTCCAACCAATCTTATAAATCACAACCCCTGATTTCTCACGATGCAGCTTTACGAACAGTTTAGTCCCTGAGTTACAACTACAGAATACATTTTCATGGGATTAAAACCTGGGTTTTTCTGTTGGCTGATCTGAACGCAGCCTGCTATGCACATGTTCCAAGAGAGAAAGGAGGTAGTGGGAAGTTGTATGAAGGCTCTACCTTTCTTGCTCTGTTGTATAACACCCGGAGGTGGTGAAGCTACTTTCATGGCCAGTCCGTAGGCTCCCCGGAAAGAGTGGCTGTCTCGAATGATGAAGGCACCCGGTTCCTTGTCTTTTAGCAACGCAATGGCTGGGAAAGAAGTAGAGCATACTACATGAATATAAATGGATCTAAACCTTTAATAAGAAAAGCCTATAAAGAAACGAATAGTAGGATTCTCAGTATGAAGAAGGATTTTAAGTTCTAACGGCACCAGAGGTAGTCCACGACTTGCAACCTTTTGTTTAGTGATCGTTTGAAGTTACAACAGCACTGAAAACAATGACTTAATGAGCATTTTTACACACTTGCAACCGTTACAGCATCCCCATAGTCACATGTTCCAAATTCAGACGTTTGGCAACTGGTATGTATTTATGACGGTTGCAGACTCCCAGGGTCATGTGATCACCTTTTGTGACCTTCTGACCAGCAAAATCAATGGGGAAGCCAGCTTCACTTAACAATCGTGTTGCTAACTTGACAACTGCAGTGATTCACTTAACAACTGTGACGGGAAAGGTCGTAAAATCGGGAAAAACTCACTTAACAACTTAGCAATGTGGTCGTTGAGGACTACCTGTACTAGGATATCTAATGAGTATCAGATTTATTGTGAACTAAAAGGTATAAAATTGGGACAACAGCTATTTCTCTGTTTCTTCTCTGACTTACAGCTCAGTTTTCTTTTGGAAAGATGAGATGAATTCACCTTTATAAGTCTCCCACGTAACATCCCAAGATTAAGGTGGTTATGAATAATATTGTCAGTTGTATAATTTGGGGAGGGGACAAAAAACAGCAGCATTCAGTGGAGAGTGAAAAATGCATATCCATAGCAATGTCATGAATAAGGAGCAAGCATGGCCCTGGCATGAGGGCATTCCACCCCCTCCTTTAAGGGGGATTTTCTCATCGAATTGCAAGATTTAAATGTGAAAGCTCTTTTGTGATTTGATTCTGGGAAGCCTGAATTACAGCAGAGGCAGGAATGACCCTGTTCCTGAGAATCTGATCTGAAGCAGCGCCAATGTTCATTCAGTAACAGTCATTCTACCCTTGAAAGGGGAGATGTGAAGGAAATGAGGGAAGTGCCAAGTGCTTCAGCTGTTGAATGGATGAAAAGAACGGCTGTTGACAGATACATGAACTCAACTCTTTGAAAGGTCTCACTCCCAATTATACGACAGGCAGCTTATCAGCATGAGCTGGAGAGAGAAGGTTGCCATCCTGAAAGCTGAAATGGGGGCCAATCTGTTTTGTACACTTTTAGACCATGCCACCCTGAATTTGGAGAGATACCCTTGCACACTCAACCTTTGCATAACCAATTCAAATGTGGAAGTGAATTTTTTTTTGACTGGAAGAAGAACATAAAATTAAACACTCAATTCTGCAGATCTCCCTTTGACAGACTGTGGATGCAATGAACAAAATTTTACTTTGGACTTTGACTGCCAACTCTTATTTCAGAGAAAGAGTTTAGAAAATGGACAGAATCTATGTCCCTTGTGTCAACTGATGTCATTTACATCACCAAAGTTTTTATGCTTCTGCATCCATCTGTGTCATTACATAATTGATTTCTATGCAATGACAAAAAATATTGCAAATTGTATATCTTGGGATTTAATATAGATTTGGCTTTAGCAGCTATGTCTCTCTACAAACAAACTGTTCAATCAAGGTTTTACCATAGCTTCAATGCGATGAGAGACAGCGCCCATGTTTACTTACTTTTCTCTCAGTGAGTGCCTCCCATTTACTAGGCACTGCCTCTGAACTCTACATGTGCACAGCTATGTCAGTCAAAGGAACTGAAATTTGCATTTATTAGACCTGCAGCTGATTGTCTCTATTTCCACGAGACAAATGGTTCTACGAAATCTTCTTAACTTCTTAATTATATAGAGAATATCTACATTACTGAGGGAGACACTCACCACTGGAGGTGGTTGACAGGGTAGGAAGATCTCACGTCCATGCTGTCTGCTTTTCAGTTTTGGTTTTTAAAATTTTACTCTGCGTATAGTTTTAATATTTTAATATATTTTAATTATTCTTTCTATTTGTTTTGTGACCTGTAAGTGACCCAAAATGACTTTATGGGGATGGAATGAATAAATAAAGAAATAAATCCCATTTTCTACTTGTGGTGGGACAAGAGGATGCATGTGACACAAGGTTATGGAGTAATTACTCTGTCTGCTCACATGGTCAAGGGAGGGAGGGAGGGAGGGAGAGGAATTTCTCCCAAGTTTGAATCACTAGCATTATTTTGGCAACTTGTAAAGGTAAGGTTATCACATGAGTTGCGAAAACTAGAAGAAGAACTACAGCTATCCACAGATATCCCAAAAAGAATTATTATACATCCTGTCACCGTTGGGAGTTCCTGGAGAAAAAAGTGCTCTAAGAGAACGTTCAGTGTTCCTCATAGTTTTGTGGTCGATCTGTTTCTATGGAAACAAAAGAAAATCGCATGCTTGCCAGAACTTGTCCTAACTGTTAAGGAGCTTCAGTAAGCCATAAAAAAAATACTTCACCTTGTTCTCTGGAGATCTCTGGCTTGTACCAGTATTTTGAGGTATCCTGGACGAACTTTACATTTGCTCTTGTTTCAGGACTGCTGTCTAAGAAACAGGAAAAGAGACACAAGGTGGAACTGACATATTTGTGCAATGGAAATTTTGTGGACTGGATTTGTACAACACGCTCAACCTCAAATAGACCTGGAGTCCATTTCTGAGTTCACACAAAATACTGAAAAGTACGTTGACCAAACTCACTGAGTCCACACAATTTGCACAATGACAGAAAAATTAAATCGCTACCAGTGACCAGGCTTTGCATACTCTATGAACAGAACTACTAGGTCTCTAACTGAACCTATTAAAAGTTGTCCTTTGAATTCAGCCGCCAGGCACTCGCCCCCAGTTTTAATCCAAGTCGACTAATTTGAGATAAATGATTTTATGAAGCTATGATGATTACTAGAAAGATGGATCATCAATAACATATCCTGTATTTATTAAGGAAAAGAATAATAATGTTAATAATTTCCTTTCTGTTGAAAGGAAATTAATGAAATACTGGTAAGTAACTCGTGCTAACAATCCATTCCGGCAGATCAGCGATTCTTCCAAAGTTCCAAAAACACTTGTCTTAAGTGGACAAAAAAAATCCATAATGTATGTCCTTGATACTAGAGCAGTAGTTCTCAACCTGTGGGTCAGGACCCCATTTGGGGTCGAATGACCATTTCACGGGGGTCGCCAAACAACGCAGTCCATCATTTTTTTCCCCCTTTTCCTTAGCTGTGCTACTCCCTTTTATTCTATTGGCTTTTGAAAGCCAATAGAATAGACTCTCTTGAATAGAGTCTAATTCTATTGGCTTTCAAAAGCCAATAGGAATTGTCCAGGCTGTCTCTGTCCTGCTGAGCCCGCCAAGAGTCCCATTCTGCAAACGGTGCTGCAAGTTGTCTGCAGCGAAGGCAAGCTGTCTGGAAGCTTCCACCCCTCCCTGCTGAGCAACTACTAAAAATGTAAGTAAAAGAGGGCCACAGGTGGGAGGTGGGAGGCTGGCAGGTGCAGGGAGGGTTACTGGCGTGCGTGGGGCCCGGCAGGTGCCTTACCTCCCTTGGGCTGGGCCAGCTGGTGGCCCAGCCGGTGGTCGGCCTGCGCCGTCTCTGCCGCTTGCCAGCTACGCCTCGGCCAGCGCAGGGGGCGGCACCACGCATGTGCGACGCTCCCGGGCAGGGAAAGTCCTCAACTTATGACCATTTGGGTAGTCCTCCACTTAGGACCGGTTGGGTAGTCCTCGACTTACGACCAGTTGGGGGTCGTGGCATTAAAAAGGTTGAGAACCACTGTACTAGATATTTAGCAAACACTAGTCCTCTCTCATTGCAAAGCACTTACCAAACTATGGTTATATTAAGAAAATTCTTAATGGTGATCACTTTTCAAGTACTGACAGAAAGAGCAAATAGAAAAAAGCTGTGATATGGAAGCTCTTGATAGTGTTGAGGAACTTAGATATTTAAATAATCTGTTAAGGCTTGTGCAGAAACTGGGGATACTGTGTAAACCTGCTTGGGGTTCTGCTTGACAATTTATCTAAAGCAGGTACTTACAGTCTGATAAATTAAATTTTACATACTTGTTTAGTTTGATATCACAGAAGTTAAAGGAAATCGGGATACCACAAAGTTGGACAACCTTTGCTATTATCCACTACAGGTAGTCCTCGACTTATCATCCACCACAGCTAGTCCTCGTTTAATGACCATTCAAATTTACAACGGCACTGAAGAAAGTGTCTTATGTCTTATGATTGTTTTCACACTCATGACTGTTGCAGCATCCCCAGGCTCACATGAACAAAATTCAGACGCTTGGCAACTGGTTCATATTTATGACGGTTGCAGTGTCCCGGGGACAGGTGATCACCTTTTCTGACTTGACAAGCAAAGTCAATGGGAAAGTCAGATTCACTTAGTAATTGTGCTACTAATTTAACAACTGCAGTGATTCACTTAACAACTGTAGCAAGAAAAGTCATAAAATGGGGCAAAACTAACTTAACAATTGGGTTAACTATTAACAGTTAACAATTGCTTAGCAACAAAAATTTGTGGTCGTAAGTCGAGAACTATTTGTATTCTTAACCTTCAAATGCAGCAGTCTCCAACCTTTCTGCCTTTGCAGAGCAGCAGGAAGGGAGGGAATGGTTCCACATGGGCAGCGGACAAGCACATGGGCAGCTCCATTGGCACAAATGGTGGGCATGCATGCCCTCTGCTTGCACAAATGGAGTTGTGCATGCACACTCGCCCATCCGCTGTGCAAGTGGAGCTGCATGCACGTGTGCACTCGCCCACTGCTTCCGCGGCCCAGTTCTGAATGGGCCACAGCCCGGAGGTTGGGGACCTCTGCTTAAGTGAGAAAGAACATGTAAAAAGTTTTACCTGGCATTGAAAATTTGGAAAAATCTGGCAGAGTATGATGAAAGGCCATACTGCTCCCACTGCTGGGACTGGACATGCCACTGGAAATGGGTGATGAAGTCTTGCCATTCACTGTAGCATAGTTTGGCAGGCTGTTTGATCGATCCCCTGATGACATCCTTCTTTTCTCGGGGAGCAATGGTTGGGGTGGGGTGGGGCTGCCCTGTCTGTATACTGCCGAGTCAGGGGAAGAGGAATGTGGGCTAATTCCATGATAGTATGCTGGGGAGACAGGAAATGATGGGGTAGAGGGAGCTTGATAACCTGAAGCACTGCTTTGGCGAGACAGTGTTTGTTGCTTTTCCTCTGGAGTTGAATACCCACATAGTATGTGTCGATCCAGACTGGGACTCCCGGAAATAATGGCTGTGCTACCCCCTGCTACGGGCTGGTGACGAGCATGGCTTGGACTCCCAGGTGATGAAACAACAGTGCTATGGGGACCCATTAAGTGCCTGTTCATGCTTGGGCTTCCTGGAACGGCCACCTTATTTGTGCTAACAGTTCTTCGTCCAAATCCTGGGCTAGCGGGAGTATTGGTAGCTACTGTTCTATGAAGGGCATGTGGGCTTCCAGGCATGATTTGGACCCCAGATGCAATGATCTGGGCTTGAGGCCTTGGATGGCTATCTTGTTGAGTGCTGGTTCGGCCATCAGGGAAGTCAGCATTCATAGAGACTGGCAAGCCCTGAGTTGATGTAGATGTATTTTGGTAACTGCTGTGTGCTGAAGGACCCTGAGAAAGATTAGTGGATTGGAAGCTGGACTCGGCAGATGGCTGGGAGGAAATGGCTATGCTGGTACTGTTTTCTGAAGGATAACTACCAACAGAGATCCTGGAGGAAACAAAGAAACATATTAAAGTATTTTATCAAGGGATTCATTCATAGCCTGGAATAGCATTTGAAGTTGCAATTGGTTTGGAGCATGAATTCCTACAAAATCAGGGGCTGATATGCTGTGGCTCTTGGAATATATGCAGCCCTCAGTTACATTTCCTAAGCCTTTAACATACATATGTTGATTTAGAATAGGGGCCTCCAAACTAGGCAACTTTGAGACTTCAACTCCCAGAATTCCTCAGCCAGCCAGCTGAGTTGAAATCCACAAGTCTTAAAGCGGCCAAGTTTGAGAGCCCTGGTTTGGAATTCAGATAGGAAACTTGTGTTGTTTCCTTGATTTCCCTCTGGGAAAGGTGAAAGCAGGTGAGTGAGAGGGAGATAAAGGAATAGAGGAAAAAGAAACTTCTTTCTCCATTCTGGTATCTGCTCTGATGTGATCCCCAAAAGTTTTAACCTGAGGGAATTCCCAGTTTAAGTCACAGTGATTTAAAATCATACTCACACTTCTATCTTTGATATTCATTCAGGTAAGTGACCATAATTATTTGTTTTCTGGGAGGATATTTTCATTTGTGTTTCTCTTTTTGAAACAATATTTACATAAAATTAAGGAGCAATTGCCTATGAGAAAGTCATTTTACTTCATCTTGTAATTTCCCAGTTTATCAGTCATTACGGAACACATACAATTTATTGCAAACATTTTAGAGAGGAAATCATTTCACAATACACTCGGAGTGTGACATTTGCAGGTGGACAAATGTGAACAGTGGATATCCTCATGCGGTCAAAACATACTTATAGATTTTTAAACAGTGTGGTAAAATCATACTGTTGACACATGGAATCCTTTCCAGAGAGGAAAATTCTTCTTACATTTTTTAGGAAAAAAAAATAATGAACTAGTTGAATTTGGGCAAACTGTCCTAATAGCTAAGCATATGTTAGCTCAGGAGCAAGATAACATACAGTTATTGAAGAAGCTCTGACAAGGTTTTTACTCTATAAAACATTTCTCCTGATCATAATTAGGAACAACCTCACATTTCCTGTTTTGGAAAAACAAATTCTTTCACTTTTATAGATTTTTTTTTTATTGTGCACAAATACTGATCTTCGTCTTGGATCATGAGTGGAGGAACATAAGCAAAGAAAAGGGGAAAAAATATCGCTTTCCCATATTCTTTCCTCTGACATTAAAGCAAAGTTGTCTCTCTCTTTTGTCTTATTCCAGCACTACAATAATCAAAGCAAAGGACAAATTGTCCTTCTGCTCCTTCATTCCACTGATCTTACTCACAGAGGGCAGTTCCATGCATCTGGCAGCCATGTCTTTTCTGCAACTCACCCGTCCATGCTATGTATGGGGCTGCTGGCAGAAGCTGGGCTAGGCAAGGCGAAGGAGTTGTTGAGGGATTCATTCCTTACAGGTGTCTCAGTGCTGTAGGTCTCTGAAGCCAAAGATGGCTGGGGCTTCCCAGCAAGGCTGCTTCCGCTCCCACCACTACTGCCTGCTGCTGCTGCTGTACGAGCCACAGATTCCACATAGCTCCGAGGCTCTAAATTTACATGCGAGGAGAAAACAAACAAACAAACAAACAAACAGAAGAATGATGCCTAAGTTGCTTGAAACCATAAACTATTTTTAAGCACTAATAATCACGATTCCCTTGGAGTTGGTCAGCTAATACATTTTAACAACAACAACAATAATAATATAGACAGCAGAATAGACGAGAAAGAACTGGAGAAGATAACAAAATACAAAGACCTACAAATAGAAATAGAAAAACTGTGGCAAAAGCAAGCAAGGGTAGTACCAATAGTCATAGGCTCCTTGGGTGCAATCCCAAAACAACTGGAGCACCACTTGAACACCATTGGCATTGACAAATTCGCTATTAGTCAATTGCAAAAGGCGGCCTTATTAGGAACTGCTTCCATCGTGCGACAATATCTGTAATACCATCAAACATCCACACCTGCCTATCCCAGGTCCTTGATAAGGACTCGATAGGTAGACAAAAATGCCAAATCCAGTCTGAACATCTGGCTGACTGTGCGATGATTAATAATAATAATAATAATAATAATAATAATAATAATAATAATAAGCCCCCAGTGAGGCACTACCTTGACGTGGTTGTGGGGCTTGTGTACTCTAAGGAAGATGAGAGCTATGCCAGAGGTTCAACCATACTGGACAGGTCTCATCAGAGGAGTCAGACAAAGAGTGTCTCTCCCATAAAAAATATGGTGAGACGTAAATTTCAGAATGCCATACCGGCTCGGATGTCGCCCGGGTTAACAAGGTCCATGCTAGATATTGGAGTTCCTGGATATCTGGTGAAAAATGGGTTACAGGACTCAGGACTGTTGGCTGAGCAACCAGGGCCAGCAGCTGCAGAACTACTGGAAGAAAAGGTGTTTACCCGTCGCAGATACACAGTGATGGAAAACAAAGAAATAATGATCTGTTACTACAGATCAAGTCCAACAAGACGAGGATATCTAAAACGAATGCACCAATTCTGGAAAGAACAACATCCAGAATCAGAAATAACAGAACAGAGACTAGCAGATCAACGCCGATTTATAACATGAAATAAAGTATTTACAGAAACAGAATTGGACGAACTGCAAAGGTTTACCCAGGGCAAAGAAATCAAAGCCTTACCAGAAGTAATTCAGAATGTAGAGGCAAACCAGGGGGAGTTGGCAGTGAAGGAATCCAGCAGAGATATACAACTGTTCTCATTTGGAAACCAGGCACCTCTTCCTCAGGAAGAACAAAACCCTCTAACTAAAGAAATAAAAGAATTGAAACAAAGAATAACTGAGCATCTAGAACAGCACAAAAACAACAGAATAAGGCTGCCTGCATTGAAGCTTGTTCCAAAGAAACAGCTAGCACAAGCATTAAAAGATGCAAATACTGCAATATCAAGTATAAGCACCAATTCACTGCAAGAAACAAACCAACTAATGTACAGCACAGCTGCAGTTATAACAGAATACCTGGGATGTAAAATCAACAAAAAGAAAAACAAACAAACAGTGCACCACAAAAATGGAAGGTTAGACTAGAAAATAAGATCAGCAAGTTAAGATCACATGCAAGCAAGCTAGAACAGATGAAAGAAAAGAAGCTGAAGAACAAGAAGACCAAAGAATACCTAATCAAGAAATACCACTTAGAAACAAGGAAGATCAAGGAAGCACTGGAAATAATAAAGCAACAAATAACAGCTATAGCCAGGAAAATCAGTAGATATGAAGCTCGAATTGCAAACTATAGGCAGAACCTCCAATTTCAATCCAATCAGAAACGTTTCTACCAATCCATCAATGGAGAAACTGCAAGGAATCAGTCAGTACCTGACAAGGAAGAAACAGTGCAGTTCTGGAAGCAGATATGGGATAACCCAAAGAAATACAACAAGGATGCGGCTTGGTTAAAAGAGGTGGATGCAAATAAAACAGAAGTTGAAATGAAAGAACTAGTAATAACAACAAAAATGGTAGAAAAAAGAGCAAAGAAAATCAAAAATTGGTCAGCACCAGGTGAAGATGAACTGCATGGGTTTTGGTTGAAACATCTAACTGTTATACACCCACTCATTGCCAAGCAGTTCAACAATATACTACAAGGAGGAGAAATTGAAAAGTGGCTAACAACTGGGAAAACCTACCTAATAATGAAAAATCCAGCAAAAGGGGCAACACCAGGTAACTACAGGCCAATTACCTGCTTACCAACAACTTTCAAATTACTAACTGGTGTGGTAGCTGATGCAGTACAACAGCATCTAGTTGAAAACAATCTCTTTCCACCTGAGCAGAAAGGAAACCGCCCCAATAGCAGAGGAACAAAAGATCAACTCCTAATAGACAAAATGATCTTGGAAAACTGCAAGAGAAGGAAGACCAACCTGAATGTGGCATGGATTGACTACAAAAAGGCATTTGACTCTCTGCCACATGATTGGATAATAAAGTGCCTAGAAATAACAGGAGTCAGTAGAAACATCAGAAAATTTGTGCAAAGATCGATGGCACAATGGAAGACACAGTTGCAGATCAATGGTGAGAAGCTGGGAGAGGTTAATATCAAGAGAGGAATATTTCAAGGAGATTCATTATCACCATTACTATTTGTTATTGCACTGTTTCCTCTGTCAACAATACTGAATAACTCAGGACATGGCTATCAAACATCAAAAACATCTGCCAGACTATCCCACCTCCTTTACATGGATGATCTGAAGCTGTATGGAAAAACATCATCTGAAATAGAATCGCTGCTCAACACTGTCCGTATATATAGCCAAGATATTGTAATGGAGTTTGGCTTGGACAAATGTGCCACACTTACTATCAAACAAGGAAAAATAGTGAAAACTGAAGGAATCAAGATGCCCCACGAAAATAACATTAAGAGTCTGGATGAGGAAGAGTACTACAAATACTTGGGTATCCTTCAAGCTGACAACATCAAGCACACTGAAGTCAAGAAAAAGATTAGAGGTGAATACATCAAGAGAGTGAAGAAGATCTTAAAGTCCAAACTCAATGGAGGAAATACCATAAAGGCAATCAACACCTGGGCAATCCCAGTCATTAGGTACACAGCTGGAATAGTGGACTGGACTCAAGCAGAACTAAAAGCAATGGATAGGAAGACCAGAAAAATAATGACAATGAATCATGCCCTTCATCCACGCAGTGACATTGATAGACTTTATCTACCAAGGCAAATAGGTGGGCGTGGAATGCTACAAGTACATCAGATGGTTGAAGAAGAAAAAATGGCTTTGGAAGAATATCTGAAGAACAATGATGAAGATGCACTGAAATTAGTATATCAGGAAGGCTTACTAACTACTGGAGAGACCAAACTGGCCTACAAGAAAGACCAAATGAAGAACAGAATAGAGGCATGGGAAGACAAAGCACTACATGGCCAATACATGAAAAAAATAGCTGGGAAAGCAGATAATAATAAACCTGGCAATGGCTAAGAGCAGGAAAATTGAAGAAAGAGACCGAGGGACTAATTCTGGCTGCACAAGACCAAGCCTTAAGGACAAATGCATACAAAGTCAAAATTGAGAAGACAGCAACAGACAGTAAGTGCCGCCTATGCAAAGAAGCTGAAGAAACAGTGGACCACTTGGTAAGCTGTTGCAAGAAGATTGCACAGACTGGCTACAAGCAGCGGCATGACAAAGTAGCAACAATGGTGCATTGGAAGATCTGCAAAAAATATCATTTGCCTGTAAGCAAAAACTGGTGGGATCATAAAATAGAGAAAGTCATAGAAAATGATAAAATTAAACTGCTCTGGGACTTCAGAATTCAAACAGACAAGCACCTGCAACATAACACCCCAGACTTAACAATTGTCGATAAGAAAGACAAAAAAGTCTGGATAGTGGACGTGGCAGTGCCTGGAGACAGCAGAATAGAAGAGAAAGAACTGGAGAAGATAACAAAATACAAAGACCTACAAATAGAAATAGAAAGACTGTGGCAAAAGCAAGCAAGGGTAGTACCAATAGTCATAGGCTCCTTGGGTGCAATCCCAAAACAACTGGAGCACCACTTGAACACCATTGGCATTGACAAATTCGCTATTAGTCAATTGCAAAAGGCGGCCTTATTAGGAACTGCTTCCATCCTGCGACGATACCTGTAACACCATCAAACATCCACATCTGCCTATCCCAGGTCCTGGGTAAGGACTCGATAGGTAGACAAAATGCCAAATCCAGTCTGAACATCTGGCTGACTGTGCGATGATCCATAATAATAATAATAATTGTTATTATTGTTGTTATTATTATTATTATTCAAAGTATTCAAAATGTAAGTTGTGCAAAGAAGCAGAGGAAAAAGTAGTTCATATACTCAGTTCATACAAGATCACACAAACTGATAGTAAACAATAACATAATACAGTTGCCAAGATGATTCACTGGAACATCTGTAAAAATTATCATGTGCGAGTAATGAAAAATAAAGTAATGAACATAAAGTTGAAAAAGTAGTTGAAAACGAGCAGGTATTTCTGAAAACAAGCAGGTATTTCTGAATACAAACAGATATAATCTTGGTTCATAATTATGCCTGAAAAGAAAAAGTTTGGATAACTGATGGGACAATACCAGGAGATACTAGAATAGAAGAATTGAAGAAGCTCACAATGTATCAAGATCTAAAAATCTAAACTGAAAAGATTATGGTATAAAATTAGCCACGGTGGCCCAAGTGGCTATTAGTACAGTAGACGCCATACCAAAAAATCTTGGACAGCACTGCACATTGACAAAATGTCCATCTGTCAATTACAAAAGGACTCACTGCTTGGATGTGCATAGATACTATACCAATACATTATAACATTGTATGTTTTGGGGAAGAACTCCATATAAATGAAGACCAACATCAGTTAAAGGATCTGCAGTTGTGATTTCCCATTTTTTGTACTATATATAATAATGATATAGTAGTATATAATATAATAATATATAATGTAATGTAGTAAGTATATAATAAT